CATAAATAAGCAGTAAGACAAGCACACTGTAAGGTTCTAAATGTTTATGTAGATATTCTTTTATCTTTAATTTAATTACTGTATTTTAATCGTAAATCATACTTTCCTTCAGCCGTCAAAGGCTACCACTGTACGATCTGTAATGATAATGAGGATGTAGATAAACCATTCATTCTAACAGTTCAGTCATCAATGATCATGTGATTCTGTCTGCAGTCCTGGCCCCAGTACCAGTCCCTGTGGGACCTGAGGGGGGGGGTTAGGGTTAGATAGAAGTTACTGTAGTAACTGACATGTGCTGCCGTGTGTTAGGGTTAGGGTTAGATAGAAGTTAGGCCATGTTGATTTGATTATATGGATGACATCCGCGCGCGCATGAATTTTCGGCCGTTTCCAAACAAAAAAAAAGTTTTCAACCATACTGTAAATCGTACAAAACAGTTGCAAAATGATCAAAAATATACCATGAGTTACAGAAAAAATTAATAAAAACTATACCAATGCCGTAGAATGCCAAAATCAAACGAAAAAAGACAAAATTGTAAAGAAATGAACTTGAAGACTAGATTATTCGCCAAACCATATTCTGTGCTATTTGCTCAACTCTCATGACCACGTAGATTTCATAATGAAAAGAACTTTTTTTTTGCAAAATTTTTTTTATTCGCACGCGCGCATCAGTTTTGGGGCTCCCGGAGGATGTCATCCATATAATCAAATCAACATGGCCTTACTGTAGTAACTGACATGTGACGCCGTGTGTTTCAGTCCTGGCTCCAGTACCAGGCCCTGTGGGACCAGAGGGGGAGGGTTAGGGTTAGATAGAAGTGAGGGTGAGGGTTAGGGTTAGCTAGAAGTGAGGGTGAGGGTTAGGGTTAGGTATAAGTTACTGTAGTAACTGACATGTGACGCCGTGTGTTTCAGTCCTGGCTCCAGTACCAGGCCCTGTGGGACCAGAGGGGGAGGGTTAGGGTTAGATAGAAGTGAGGGTGAGGGTTAGGGTTAGATGGAAGTTACTGTAGTAACTGACATGTGACGCCGTGTGTTTCAGTCATGGCTCCAGTACCAGGCCCTGTGGGACCTGACTCCTGACCAGGTCTACAACCGTATCGGGGAGGGCATTCAGCGTTGGGTCAATGTCATCGTTGAAGTCAAGTAAGTCAATAGTTTGTACTTACAAACATTTCTCCTGCAGTCTTAGTGTCACTGGTGTAAGGTAGCGTTTCCAAAATCATATCCAGTTGCGTAAGATACGCCTGCTGCGTTTCGGACATAGATGTACATTTGAAAAAAACAGTTGTAGAAACCGATTAAGGTCTCATTCATGAGTTTTTTCGATACATTAGAAACCATGCATTAATGAGTGACTTACCAGACCGTGTTCCCTATGATCCTACCTTAAATCAATTGATATCTTTCATGCTATGTTGAGCACACTTACCCTACGTCTCATAAAAAAATTACCAACGACTTCTATACACACAATCCCCTTTTATGGGAATCAGAAACTGCACTTAGCGGCTGTCCGCAAGAGGCCCTCCCACGCTGCAAACCTACGACCGCACAACTCACAACAATGGACTGTGCACGTCCGACCTAGCGCGCGGCTGCCGACAATTACGTCCTAATTTCATCAGTTACAAACAAGCTTTCACCGCTTTGACGTTTTACATCAGTTGGGATGGCTAAAGGGAAAATTCTCACCAATAAAAACACTCGTTCATACAGCCGTTCAGTTTTTGACTTGGTACTCTTTTAGGGGGTACACTCGGAGTAATACATGAATGAGACCTTAACACAGGAAGAGTGTTAGAATGAAAGCTCATCTCTGTTGGTAGAATCCATAGTTACAGAGTCCTAAAGCTTTGTTCCAACACAAGAAGGGAACTCACCATAAATTTTCGGTCAATCTCGTCAACCTTCAGATGTATGATGCACTTGCTGACTCTCAGGAAGTCTGAAATGTGATGATGTCAGGAAGAGTGACTGTATTCATGTGATAGCATAATACATTAAAAATGCAGTTGTTTTACTCTTAGCTTAGAATGAAGTTGTACAGGACCATGGGTGCTTGGGTAGAAGCCTGGTGCTCTGCCATGCTTCAGTTGGACAGCCTGAAATAACACGGCCGGATTCTGTTTCTGTAGGCAGTCTCGGGCAACCTTTGACACTGCGGAGGTGCGGAAGGAATTCGGGCCGATTGTGATCGAGTTTGGCAAGGTGAGACTTTGACCTCTAACAGCCAACCTGTAATATTGAGTTGCCTGGTGAAGTTTAGTGATAACATTTTTTTTTGTCCTGTCCTGAAACCTTCTTTTAAAGCAGCCTGTTTGAACCATGTCTATCTGTATAGCCGGTATAACCACGTTTCAGTGTAACACATCAGTGTCACTGGCATTCAGCAGGGTGGCAGCTGGTTATAATATACTGAACAACCTGTTACACATCTAACTTTGCACATCTAACTAACTGTAAGCATTTTTTAAAGCTATCTAGCAATGATGCCGCAACTGTACATGGTGGTAACAAGTTCCACAATTATAGTTCTTTGAAAGAAAAGACACCTCAATCCTCGGTTGATATAAGTAGTTGCAGGCATGACTGTTGTCGTGTTTTAGGTCCAGTCGAAAGTGAACCAGAAGTATGACAAGTTCAGAACTCTGTTAGTTATGCCTGTTTCATGTCCTGTTTTAGGTCCAGTCGAAAGTGAACCTGAAGTATGACTCGTGGCACGTAGTTCAGAACTCTGTTAGTCATGACTGTTTCCTGTCCTGTTTTAGGTCCAGTCCAAGGTGAACCTGAAGTACGACTCGTGGCACAAGGAGATTCTGGGCAAGTTCGGCAGCATGCTGGGAGAGTCCATGGTGGAGTTCTACGACACCGTCTCCAAGGTGAGAGCTCAAAAATACTCATCGTGAACTCTAATATTTCACCGTGTTACATTTGTTAAGGTCTCAGTTATCCATGGTGGAGTTGACATGACACAGTTCAAAGAAAAGTGTTACAATACTATAATTGTTAAAGTCTCAGGCACAGTAGGTACTGGTGTCTGCTGTTAGTGATAATGCCCTTTCCGGTAGTAAGATGTGTTGAATGTTTCCCGCACAGAGCTGTACAAAGCTGGAGACTGCATGGTAGCTACTGGTGGGCTACTGTGATTGATGTGGGTTGTTACTGTGCAGTACAGAGCTGTACTGAGCTGTGACGTGTTGTTATCCCCCATACAGAGCCGTACTGAGCTGTGACGTGTTGTTATCCCCCATACAGAGCCGTACTGAGCTGTGACGTGTTGTTATCCCCCATACAGAGCCGTACTGAGCTGTGTTGTTATCCCCCATACAGAGCCGTACAGAGCTAGAGCAGCACTTGGTGGAGACTGCATGGTAGCTACTGGTGGGCTACTGTTATTGATGTGGGTTGTTACTGTGCAGTTGTGAGACGTGTTGTTATCCCCCATACAGAGCCGTACCGAGCTGTGACTTGTTATCCCCCATACAGAGCCGTACCGAGCTGTGACTTGTTATCCCCCATACAGAGTCGTACTGAGCTGTGACTTGTTATCCCCCATACAGAGCCGTACTGAGCTGTGTTGTTATCCCCCATACAGAGCCGTACCAAGCTGAGACATGTTGTTATCCCCCATATAGAGCCGTACCGAGCTGGAGCAGCACTCGGTGGAGACAGCCAGCACGTCCGATGCCGTCAGCTTCATCACGTATGTCCAGTCACTCAAGCGCAAGGTCCGCAGCTGGGAGAAGCAAGTCGACGTACGTATTGCCTGTCACTCTGCGTGGTTTACATTATAGTAGACTTTGTATTGAATTGTCTAACTTTTGTTTCCTTTTGGACTTTCAAAAGATTTGTCTTCACTTATTTGCATGTCAATCAATAGTTCGTGCTTATAAACCTGCTTTTCTGACAACTCTCCAGTTTAACTGACGAAAGGTACCTGAAACGTCTGACCGTTTCCAAAATCATATCTAGGTGCTTAACTGTTTTTTTTGGTGTAGACAGTAGGCGTTGTGTAATGCAAGTGTTTACAAGATACAAGGTTAAGTGATTTCAGACTTGTGGAATTATGTATGGGCTGTTTGTATTTAGGTGTACCAGAACGGTCAGAGAATCCTGGAGAAGCAGCGTTTCCAGTTCCCGTCCTCCTGGCTGTACGTGGATAACATCCTGGGCGAGTGGGGAGCCTTCACCGAGATCATGAAGAGAAAGGACTCGGCCATCCAGACACAGGTACTGTATACATCATCTATCTGTCTGTGACAGCCAGGACCGAGCTAGCACACATTTCCCTTCACATAGCCCTGTCAAGCATTATATTTTCTGAGCTTAACACATTGAATTGCAGTATCTCTAATAACTAAACTGTTAGTAAAAGTCAAACTTTCGCAATGCAGTCTGTCACTTTCCATAGGACAACAGTCGAAACTTGTAATGTCCACCATGTACCTTAGTTTCTGTTCAGTGTGCTTGCAAAGCAGGTGGCCAGCAGTTATGAAATAAACCTTTTTTGGATGCTAGTGTATTACCTGAGTTTAGTAAGATGAAAACTATACTTTAATTGCTTTGCAGATTGCCAGCCTGCAGATGTAATGTTGATGTTGATGATGTACTGTTATTGCAGATTGCCAGCCTGCAGATGAAGATTGTGGAGGAAGATCACAGTGTGGAAACTCGCAGCACAGAGCTTCTCTCAGACTGGGAGAAGAACAAACCTGTGGAAGTAAGTATGGAACATCTGTATCTTCAAATTGGAAAGAAAATGTGTTGCTAGTACTGCTAAATCTACAGCTGGTAGTATAACCAATGGATTGTCCATTTCAGTACCAAGGACATGAGCAATTATAGGACAAGGGGAGGGAGATTATGCATCGGTGGGAACAGGTAGACTCTTCTGACAAGAAACTATAAACTCTTATGAACTACATACCAATGGCATAGAACTTAAAGGAACCTCAGTGGAAATGTTGAAAGTAACCCCGCATGTCTGACTCCCCAGGGTGGGCAGCGTCCGGACAAGGCGCTCAACGCTCTGGCCATCTTCGAGGGGAAGTTCAGCCGGCTGAAGGAGGACAGAGACAACCTGGCTCGAGCCAAGGAGGCTCTGGAGCTGCAGGATCCAGGTAAGTTATAATCAGGTTCTGAAAGATGCATGCTGCGCTAAAATTCAGTTACAAACTGTCCTTAACTGTTAAGAAGAATCCAAAGAAGCTATTTGCATGCCTGTCTCTAATGTTGTTTTTAGAGCATGTTGAGTGTGTCTGAGGAGTGAGTGTAAGGTTGGGTTAGGGTTTGGTTCAGGGTTT